ATGTAGAAATTGGTTATGAGATTTGGAAACCATGCCAACACAGAGTAACAATACCATGGTTGCATTTGTGTTGATAAAATATTTTTCTAATATTTATAATTATTTTGATTCTGATACATGGAAGCACTTATGGAAAATTAAAGGACACAAAGGAGTTTTAGTCATTTTTCAGCACCTGATATTGTATTTATTCCATTGATTTTAAATCAGTTGTAGATATTTTAAACATAAAGGTTAAAATTATATTTAAGTGTCAAGTAAAGAGATTTTGTTCAGGGTTCAATTCAGTCCCCAAAGATCCTACAAGGCATTTTTATATCAATGTACACAATGATGGAAGACCTGTGCACCAATATAGAGCAAAGATTAGGTAAAGTTAGCTACAGTTCTAAACTAAATATGATTATTGAGCAGGGAGTTGAAAAGCTGATGTAATCCCGTTAGACTGTTGCTTTTCTAGGGCCTTTTGTAGGAAAAAGGCAGCTGGAAGAAGTAGTTAGCTTTTTGGGCCAATACCAGCATCATATACATATGTATTCTTTACATAAATGTAAAAAATAGATTTATGTATGTAAAAGCCTGTGTGCTGCATCAGTGTCACGGCCTCCCCGCTTGTGGGAGTTTTCAATTTCCTAAAAATTACAACAGCACCGGGAATTTAATTTAAAGATTGCAAAGTGCACAGATAGTACGGGAAATTTCAGTCGTTTTGAAGGTGTAGTTTTCTTTTTCTAACCCTATGATTTGATAATGCAATGGATTAGAACCATGCAATTTGGATGCAAAACTAAACAAGCGATAGACCCATACAACAGTGCTTTAAGAAATACTGAAGCTACTTTCATGTAATTAAGAAATGTGAAAACTTTCTCTGCTGCCTTTTAGGTTTAACTGCATTAAAGCCATCAATGTAACATTAAATAGATGAGCAACATGAATATTTCCCTTGGCAAAGGAGCCTTTTAATTGGATGCCTTTTTATATTTAAATTATCTTACAATATCTAATGTGCAGCTAGAATTGAAAATGTTGTTAAAGTGATTAGAAGCACAGAACTACATGCTACATCTCTATTTTGGGTCTTTCCCATACATGTGTTCAAGAATCAAAATCATTTACATTTAAAAATATTTTTTTGTGATGTACAAAATTCTTTTTGTTTGCATTGAACCTAAATGTAAGATCCTCTCTTAAAATGTTGCTCATCCAAAGATGAGTTAGTCCCTTATCTTTTAAGAAATTACTAATGATGGATGTGATTGTCTTATCTCTATTAAAAATAATAAAAAAAAAAAGATCCCTCAGACCTGACGTGGCAGCTGCCATGCCGCTCGGTGAGCGCCGTGGCAGCAGCACAATGAATGTCAAGGCGAGTCGCGGCTTTACCGCTGGCCGACACGTTTTAAGCTGCGCTGTAATCCAGGAGGGATCAGTTGGGTAAATCATGGCATAAAGCTTAAAACCATAATTGATTTATGTATTTGCTGACCGAAGACGCCTAGAGAGATTAACAGAGGGGGAGAGAGCTGATGATGGATGTGGCCGATACACCCCCGCCCCGCTCGCTCGCCGGGGCGAGGCAGGCGGTAAGGCAAGCAGGCAGTAAGGCTGGCTGGCTGCTTACGGAGTTGGGGATGAATTCAGTTAGACGGACGTTTTCCTGCTTAGAGGTGAAGAATGTCTGAGAATAAAGGGAGGCTTCATTAGTAGCAGTGCTGCACTTAAAGTGCCTTTCTGCCCGTTTTGTGGGGAAAGTGTTGGAAGAATATTTGTGGTCAAAAAGCTTTGTGTAGCTGTTTTTAGCTGTCTTTAGTTATTGTTGACCTGTTAATAAATGTACTTCATTACTCTTATCTGTAAGTTTTATGTCCTATAATTAGGGGTGAGTGATATGGACTTCAAGTCTGATCACATTTTGTGGTACTATTGTGATAATGATAAGAGTAACAATAAAACAAATTACTACTTTATTAAATAACTGTCATGAAGTCAATCATAGCCTCACTAACACAAATACTGCTTTAAAAAAAAACATTCCCATTTGTAACACTAAACTGCACACTGTAACTGGATTTAACCATGTTTTCGGATTTATTAATATTTACTCATACTTTCAATCAACAAACAGTGGAGAAAATGGTAAAACTCAAGAATACGGAGAGCTTTAGAGAGTTTTAAATGTCATTAATTTGAATTTATTGTGACAACAGTAAATCAAAATTCTTACAAGAAATTCATCATGATATAACAAATACTCACCCCTATTCTGGTGTATTAAACGGTATTTGCTATTTTCCCATGATTACGTTTTGAGTTTAAATGTATTTTTAACCATTTAAAAATACTGGTGTATTTTTAAATGGTTAAAAATACACCAGTATTTTTAACCACTTAAAAATGGTTAAAAATAATTTAAGGGTTAAGGTTAAATGGTTAAAAATACACCAGGAACTGCGTGTTCCTGAATGAGCAGGAACACGCAGTGCTATGCTAGGCAACACGTAACAATAAGAATGATGTTACAGAAAAAGATCATCAGAGCAAGCAGGCAGTTCTGGACGACACAAGCATTCCATTAACATTTTCAGCAACAACTAATGTAAACACTTAAAAGCAGAATAGAAAATATTCACAACAAATCTTCTTTGTTTTGAATAATTGGACATTGCTTATCACAATCATATTTGACCCATATATTAATCAGAGGATCAGGGTATTTCCAGCTCTGATGCACCATGAATCCTCTGCTCAGCGCTCCCCGTCAGCCGTCTCCAAGGTCTTTCCTGACTGCTTCCAGATTGTTTTGTGTTTGTCTGTTTTTCTCTCGGCTTTCAAAGGAAAGTAGGATTGTTTAAAAAAAAAAAAAAAAAAACAGCTGGGGAGGGGGGCAGCCATTCCATTTCCTGGACTGATCGCCGAGGCGGGCGGCTCTGACATGTCATGACTCAAACGGCATCATTTCTGCCACCGCTGTGTCTCGCCGCTGACCTTACAAATGATGCTGTAGGCTCCTGCCATATGCCATTAAGCATGCCGCGCCAAGCAGGACGGGGGCTTTATCCCGCACCTCGTACGTTCACCAAGCGCCCAGCCACTCTCAGTCTCTTTGCTCACCTTTCGGAAAAAGAAAAGCGGATTACTGCGGCGGTTTTTTCCCCCCTCTTCCTGGCCTGGCTGTGTTTTTATTGCCTCCTGTAAGTGTTGGTCCGAGGCGAGGAGCTGAAGCTTCCCTAACAGGTGTTTGGGTGCTTATCACGGACGTCTGTGCCCTTATCTCTGGCCCTCAGCTTCCTGCATCCTCTCTGTTGCATGCCTCAGAGTGGGGATATATTTCACTTAGCCTCTGACCCGAAACCTTCCTCTCTATCTCTTTCGGCCTCCTTCCCTCCTCGTGCCAGCTCACGAGCTCACGCACGGAAGAAGTGGCTTGCTGTTTGACAGGATGTGGCGTTTCATCATCTTTAACTCGTGTCTTATTGTTCTTATCTTTATCTCTATGTTGCACAAAGTCAGGAAGACGGGGCAAATCGTAACTCCTTTAGACTCACAAAGCATCAAAGATTTAGGAAACTTTTTTTTAAAAATGGCCGTATGAATAGTTTAACAGATATTCTTTTATGTTATTTTTCCAAGAAATCATACATTTATCAGCTTTGAATAGATTTTCGGAACTAAAAGAAACAAAGCGCCGCCCTCCAACCTGCTTCTCTTGTCGCAGAAAACAATGGATTTTCAGTGGAAATGCATTAGTGGCTTCAGCGCTGGGTGAGCTTTGATGCTTTTTTGTACCCAAGAGTTTGATCCAGCATTTTGTCAGAGTGATTGGTCTCAGCCTTTCGCCCCACCTCCACATTCCCTCCATCCTTTAGAGATTCAGCAATCAGAACTAGAACTAGTGGAATAGTTTCCCAGATTCCTCCGATGTCCGACCTGCAGATTCTAATTTTCTTCCCGCAGATGATTAAATATAAACTCGTTTGTTTAAACTTTGTTTCTCTTAAGGATACAAACAATGGAGACCAGCTTTGGAAATTACATTAATGTTATTAATATTTCAGTTCTTGAACAAATAAAATATATATGTAATGGACATTTTTTTATTTCATTAACTTCAAAACAAGGTGCATCAAAGGACATAATTTAAGTGGTACTTTAAGAGAGATAGAAAATGGGAATTTTCTGTCCTTTTTTGTTGAGTTTCATCACTTTTAAACACCAGCCAGTTTTGATCTTAGCTTTCATTACTACTTTTTAAATTAATTCTGAAGTTTTTATCCTAATTATTCATTTTAAATTTATTTTGTTGACAGAATAGTCATGTTTACTTTTAAAACAGGAAAAACAAAAATCATTATCTGATTGGTTATTTTTTATTTTTTTAATGGTTTAAATATGTCTATTTACATCATTTATACCACTAACTCACACGTTTCCAGTGTTATGGAATCTGAAGTTCAAATCAGTCCAATTCATTCCTATACAATCCGCTCATGTTGTCCAGTTCGAATCCCTTTATGAACAGTTCACTTCAGTCCAGATTAAAAACAATCCAGGAAAATTTACTCCCTCATTTAATGCCACTTAGCAAAACATTATGTAAGGAAACTCAGCTGATTGCATGAAGTTGTTGATTTTGTTGGTTTCTAATTCTGAATAAGCAATTTCTCAGCTGGATGAAGATCGGCTTTATGATGGCACCATGGTTTGTTTCCTGTTACTCTGCAGAGGCTTCATTCACTGACCTATTTAATCCCAGCACAAAATCTGACCCGCTGTGGAAACTAAACAAACACAATCTAAAAATAACAACTTATTTTAACCTGATGCTCCAGCTGGGTTCACATCTCGGCAATCATCCCCCGTTTTGTGACAAATTCTAAAACCCAAACGGTCCAATCGAGCGGACTCTTAACTAACGCAGCGGCTGCCAAGTACATTTATTAACCTTAATCTCACAGGTTCATTACAAGACAATTTTCTGTTTGCCGTCTTTCATTAAGAAACAAGAAGTTTACCCCGGGGCCAGCGGCGAGCGAGAAAGAGAAGCGCCACCATCTGCCAGAAGACTCCAACTTAATCTGAGCGTAATCTTTAAGTCAACCTTCCATATTATCAGGCACGGACGGAGGAGAAAAAGCCACGCAGAGATGTACAACAAGGGCGGCGGTCTCAAAGGCATTCATTTGCCAGAACAGATTTAGTTATTTTTACTTGGACAAAGGCAAGAGGGGTCAAAGGTCAGCCAGAGAGAACTTTACAGATGAGGTGGGGTGCGTTGGCGGGTGGGGGGTGTATGAGCTTCTTCTATCCTCCACAGCACCACCACCACCACCTTTCACCCTCTTTGTCCTGACGGAACACAAAGGACCCTGTCAAACTGTAGTGGTCAGCAAACCACAGCCAAAGATTTGAATCTGGCTGGAGTCACCGACGTCGACCAATCAGGAGATGAAGGCGGTCGCTCATCTTCCCAAAAAATACTTTTATGAAACACGTCTTAGTACAGTTCTATGATTCTTGCTCATTTTTGGAGTGGTTTCTGAAAATTATGGATCTTTTTGAAGATTGATTATAGTGATGCTCTGATGCATTATTTAAAAATGTAATAAAATACATTTGTTTATTAACAGGCACTCCTGGTGCATGTTAAAGCACCAAGAGTTTGATTCATTTGATTGGCTGAGTTCAATCAGTCAATCAATCACTTGGCATTTTACAACACAGAAAGTGAAGACAAAGCAAAAACTAACTCAGATAAACTAGAACACAGACAGATGATAGATGTGTCTGGAATGGTGCCTTCAGGTTGGGATCTATTTTTTCATAAAAAAAAAAAAAGGAAAAAAAAAATAAAACCATTTTATTTTACAAAAATATGCTTTAAGTGGAGTAATAATAATAATAATAATGATAAATAAATACTACTACTTCAGTGGGATCTTGGTATTTCTAGCCACCCGAAAGTAGCTGAAATCCACAAATACTTGAGATGTTTGCAACTCCCTATTTTAGTAATTCAAACACCAAATATATCAAATATATCTTACCAAATATATCTTAACATGCACAGTGCACCACCACAGAAGCTAATGCTTACACTTTTCCTCATCACTCATGGAGATTACAGCCAATCAGTGACAAGGAAAATAAAAGCACTCCTGAATTTGCTGCTTTGAAAATGCCAGTCAGTAATATTAATAGCATATAGTGATTAGATTATGATAATAAAATCCAAAACATTATCAAAATGCAAAAACAAACCAAAATGGAGATTTTTTTTATAAAAAAAATAAATAAAATACAGATATTCAGAAGGTATTTTTGACTAAAACAAGGTTAAAGTAGAAAAATGCTGCTAGTAATATAATAATTACTAATGATAATACATGCAATTTGGTGTTCTAGACTAGCTGTTGAGGAAGAAAACAGTTTTTTACTCATCCATGACAAAAGATTGGTGGTTAATATTCTGAATGGCTGCCAGGAGCCACATTTTAATCCACAGCTTTGCAGCAGATGAGCTATAAGTCAGCATCTCCTGCCATCATCCATCCATCCTGAAACTACAGCGGCGACTTGCATTAAAAAGATGCCGGAGCAAGAAGACATTTTTCAAATCCAAAGGCATAACATGCAAGAAGTAACAGAAATAACACGCCCGGTCCCACATCGTCTCCGTCTTGCTTTCTGTCCTCTAAATGCCCTTGACACGTAGCTGAGGTGATGAAAAGCAGAGAGGGATGTGGGTTTGGGCGTGGATGTTAAAGTACAATATAGGCAAGAGCGTAACCTGGTAAAAAGAATAACCCATCTCTGTTTCTGATCCGCATTTTCTTCATTGTTGCTTGTTTCAGTTGAGGTCACATATTTTCATTTTGAACCTTCTAATAAGCAAAAGAAAAACATGTTTAGAATAATTACATAATGTGGATTTTTTTTTTGTTTTGTTTTTTCTTTTTGCATTTTCTTGGGACACAAGTGTTTTATTTTGACTAAGTGTGGCTCAGGGGCCATTTGGACCCTTTAGAGTAATTTAGTGTGGCTCTCAGCTGCAGTTCAAGAATTGTACACATTTTTATGCCATTTGTGCCAAGCAGTTACAGGGAATCTGTCATTTTTCAGGGTGAGATTTTTACTGGTAATATCACATTGACAATACAAAGTACTTTTCATATATTGTTGTTTTTTTTTTTGGCTTTCTACTCAAAGAATTGGACACATATACCTAATAGAAGTTATTTATTTCTTTTTAAAAAGAAAATTCTCGTTTTTGTTGCTGGGAAGAGACTAAAACATGTTTGAGACCAACGGAACAAAAAGTATTGAACCCAAAGAGTGAAAACTGGACAACTTTCTTTGAAAGGAAACATTTGAGACCCTTTTTCAAAATGTTTTTCTCTGCGTTGTTTAATTTAAAGCAAATAATTCACTTTTAAATTATTTAGAATTTTTACTGGTAAAACTTCTTTGACCACAGTGGGAAAAGTTGAAACACCGCTGCATAAAAAGTGTTTGGATTTCTGACAACAATCCATAGATATGATAAAGATGAGGCATTGATCATTATATAGCAAAGTCAGTTATATAGCCATGTCTACTCTGGTTACTGGGGCTCCTGCGTCATTTTAAAACACTTGAATGCTTTCTCATTAGGGTGTGATGGATGCGCTGGTTTTTATGAAGCTGAGTGCAATAAGATGTAAATTGAAGGTCTGAAGTTTATTCAAGGCGTTCTGTAGTAATTGGTCCAATGCTGAGCTTTATTAAATACCTCAGCAGATAAAAATCTGGCCCCTGTCTCTTTGGGGAACCAGATTCAGCCCGGCTTTTCTTTCCAGATATTGGGACGGACATTGTCCTTATCACAACAGACAAAAATAAGTGTAACGGTTGACTGGCTCATTGTGATGGTGTGCAATATGGCGGCCGGGCCTGTACCAGCACTCAGAGGTCAGTGGACACGGTGCAGCTTTCACATGGCCCCGAGGTCCTGACTCCCACCTTTGTCGGTCATATTCTCCCCCATCTTCCCAGCGAGGACTGCAGCCCTTTGAGCTGGGCCCTCAGCCCCCCGCAGAGCGCGCCCCTTCACCACATTAATAGTGGCACTGGAACTAATTGTCCAACCTTAGATGTGCTTGAGACCCAGATTGCCTCCGCTGCCAGCGCGCCACTAACCCCCTCAACACTCCACCCAAACAGAAGAAACCCCTCAAAAGGAGAATTGTAAAATTGCTGTTTTCCATGCCTGGTGCTGGGCTAAATCGCTCCTGGTTTCAAAGGGCTTCGCTGTCGTCTTTGTGTTACTGTATACCTTCGTCTATTCAAGCTTGTTTTCAAAACATCGCCCTTCTTTCTTCCGCCGCGCCCTCGATTTTTCGTCTTGGTTTCACTTTTATTTCTGCCGGAATGGTGACACGTACTCACTATGAAGCTCACGCATTGGCGAAGACCTTCCCACACATCCCGTCCACCGCCATTTTGTCGCCAAACCCCGTCAGGCACGAAAAAAAAAAAGCTGCCAAAATAAGCCCTTTTGTACTTGGCCGGCGTATTGGTTACCCTTCCTATGATTCGGAAAAATCGTTGTTATTTTTTTTTCCCAGCTGCACGCTTTGAACTGAGAACTGCAGCCGTGGTGTAAAGTGGTGTCTAGCACCAGACTGTTGCTGTTCACACTGTCATGTCTGCCGTCTCTGCTCTGCTGCAGTGAGCGTCACCCGAGTTCAAAGAGACGCTGAAAGAGAGGGAAGCAGCCTGAGAGGCGTTTTATGATTTTATTGGTCCAAAGGAAGCGTTGCAGGGAAGGTGTTGTCTGCGCTAATGTCTCGTAATGTCACCACAGAGTGCAGCAGTCGGCTTGCTGCCTGGATGGAGAGATTTCTGAATATTTTTGCACGGCGTTCAGCTCCCGATTATCTCCTCTGAAATGTGTCTCGAGTTCTTTTCTCTCAGCTTTACAGACTACAGTCTCAAACCTGAATGTGTTTTGTCGATGTTTTGTGTGACAGACTGACATAAAGTGATGTCCTTCTGTCAAGTTGAAGCAAGATGATTCATGGTTTTTCATAGTTTTATTTCAATTAGAAATCTGAATGGTGTCACCTGCATTTATGGTTGAGCTTTAGCTCCTTTTTACTTAAATGTTAACTTTTTCAGGAAAATGGTCACTTTTATTCAATAAATCAAGACACATTATATGACTGTAAAGTGTGTATCGACAATATGCTGCACAAGTGAATCATTTGTAGCTTAAATTGAATTCTTTAGATTCTGATTGAAAGTCCTGGCATTTCTCAGGGAGACGGTCCTGTTTGTCATCTCAGTGTTAAATTAGTTGAAGTTGCATCATTCACTCCATGCCACTATTTAATGAATTGTTCTGATCTAATCTGTTCTTAAGGAGACAAACCAAAGCAGAGCTTCATTTTTGCTAGCATGGCCTCTTGTTGTCTTTGTGTAAAGCTCTTCAGAAACGGTTTTCAGCGTTTCATCGAAACAGACAGTTTTTACGCAAAGTGCCTCTTTAAATGTTTCACCCAGACTTTGAACAGACCGAGGAGTGTATTGAAATGAATTGAGTTCGTTTGAATTGAATCGGATTTTATAGAATTGGCTTTTTATTGCAGTTTCTCATGCAGTCTTTGAATTCCAGCAAGTAGATTTTGTCCAAGAAAACTTGATTGTAAAAGTTGAAGATGAAATGTGTGGTTAGGTATAGTTAACTTGTTAGTTGCATTTTTTTATTTTTTTTTGAAAATCTCCAGTATGTCATTTTATTGCACAAGAACAGTTACACTGACTGACTCACATCTAAAGAACTGCTTTTGAAATTTGAATACTTCTTGAAGCTGCTGAGCCTTGATGCTACAAACTCAGCCACTGCGACTTCAGTGTAAAGTTTTATTAGCAGCGCGGCGTCGACTTGATGTATCACACCTATTCTGCTGGGCCTCTGAAGTAGAAACTTTTTTTTTGAGTTTGCAATGCAATAATCTGAAGCCATTGCCTCTGTATTTATCACCTTCAATGTCAATGCAATTTGCTGCTCTTGTGTGGGGCATAGTATTTCCTCAGCTTGTGTGGATCAAAGGCATCTTTGAGGGAAACTCCAAACAGTGTCCAGGCTCTGTCACAAAAACATCAGGAGCAAAGGGAAAACCATCCAAAGCTTCAAAGTCTCGTCACTCAACTGAGTTAGTTCCTTTTTTTTTTTTTTTCACTGAAACGTGAAATGCAGACATGTTGTGTTCAGCTGGCTTTGACGGTCTGGTTTCATGTGATGTCTGGAACCCACTATGTTGGAAGAAAGATGCACAATAGACCGATCACCAGACATCGCCGGAGCACCGACGTTGTAGTTGGTGCTGTTTGACTATTGGCTGGACAGGCTGGAGATGCTTCCAATAGGATCTGTTAGTGAAGGTCCTAGATATGTTAGTGTCTATCGTAAGAATATGGAAATAAATATCTGTTAACTTTGGCCCAGTTTCATTTACTCTATGTTGAAAAATAACTAATATAATCTGAAACCGCCAGATTAGGAATGCCGATGCATCGTGCATTCCTAATTTGAACCCATTGAGATTACAGAACTATTTTTCAGGGGATTTCTTAATGAATATGTGCATAAA